TGCAGCCTTTAAAGGGAATGCGTTCGTAGGCAGCAGTCGTGGTGCCCGGCAGCATCTCTGCCCCTCCGCCCCTGCTTGTGGGTGTCTGGAGATTGATAGGAGCAAGATTCCCCCTCTTCCAGCCCCACCTGGGTCTTTGCTTTTGATGTACAACTGGGGGCGACGCTCGCTGGTAACAGCAAGAGGGTCCTGAGCTTCACTGAGATGGCCTGTCCGCCTGCCGGTCTGGGACCCACCTGCCCTCTTCCCCTTCGCCAGCTGCATCTTCAGGAAAGTCAGGGGGGGCCATCTAGTCCCCAGCACCTCCTGCAGCCCCTGCTCCCTGTGGCCAAGGTCTCTGATGGTATCTGGGAAGGGATGGGCTCGCTTCCCCACCTGACCTGGTACGAGCAGGAAACGCCGGTCCTCTTTTCCACTGTCCACTCTGCCCGGAGCACTGGGCGCAGATACCCCTTAGCGTCCCACCCTTAAAATCCAGGGGGGGGGCTGAGAGGAACAGAGGGGGCTCGGGGAATGGCTCCTATGGGAAACACAGCCCGTAACTGAGTGGGGATGAGAGCATTGGCATGGAGTGTGAGTCAGTGGTACCCACCGAGCCCCGAATGAGAGACCCTGACCCAGACGAGGATGTGAGAGGTGGGGGCGGGGCAGGGGTTCTGGCGAGACCCCACTAGCCTGGCCCAGCTGGGCCTGCTTGCAGTGATTATGGCTAGGCTGTTCGTAGTGGGTCAGTATTTTACTGGGGATACAGTGAGAAATGCAATTCTTTATCACTTTGGTTTTAGTGGACGAACAAAGGGTTAATTCCCTGTCATTCCTGTGAACCCCGCTTTGCACCTCTGGCCAGCCGCCTCCTGCAGCTCTAGGCCTGCATGAGCTCTCTCCACATCAGAGCTGGGCCAGGCACGGGAGGCTTGGGCCAGCCCTTTGGCTTCTGGTTCATACGGGCTTGGCCTCCTGCTGCATGAAACCCAAAGGCAAACTCCCCAAGGTACTAAGTCTCGGGGTCCAAATCTTGCCAAAGCTTTCCACGGCTCCCACCCAACCCCTCCATCTGCCTTGCTTTGCCTGGGCTCTCGGGTCTGTAGAGATGAGCGCCGCCCTGGGAGGCTTGGGTCAGGATCTGGCTGTCGCCAGAACTCTGCACTGGTTGGAGCTGAGGTTTTGCTGCAGGCTCGTGGGTCCTGTTTTGCAAGCAAACGCGAGAAGAGTTGCCCAGTTTGGGGATCTCTCTCGGCAGGGCTCTGGCACGTGCAGCTTGTCCAGAAGCAATGGCGTGACCACTCGCTGGAAAAACCGTAGTGTCCTGTCAGAAACACCTGTGTCTTCTGCACCGCCTCTAAAGAAGCAGATTGACTGTAAATTGGCATTACTGGTTCTAAGGCCCCTAAGCCTGTTGGTCCTGGCAACATTTGCTGACCAGTATCTCTGCAGTTTGAGGTTTGCTCCCTCGTGTGTGAAGCTGGCTTCTGTTCCCAGCACGAGAAATAGCGGTCCGGTTTGTCATAGAATTTAGGACCACAACGGCATGCAGAATGCGTGTGGATTAGCATGCCCAATCTGTGCATCTAATCACGGTAACTGTGCATGCAAATTAGATGCACCTTTTGCACAAGCAGTTGTACATCTAAACAGTCTGAAAATCTGGTCCGAAAGTTTTAAAGACTTGAATTTATTTCCACTATCCCTGAATTGCATTTTTCTACTGAGTGCTATTTCCCCTCGTGAGAAGATACCGATTGTCGAGTTAATTTGTTTAGGGACACAGTGAACATCAACATTTTGGCCGTGATGGGTCCTAAGGCCTGGTACCCGATGCCCCTGAAATATCCCCCCTGCCCCCCCCCCCATCCTTCCCATTTTAAAAACCCACATTAAAAGCTTATGTTTTCTCCCAGGGGCTCAGGCCTGATGATAACATTATCTAGCTCTTATGTGGCATTTTTCATCAGTAGATCTCAAACCACATCACCGTTGTTAATGTATTTATCCTCCCACCCATCCACCCCCCGGTGAGGTGCTCTTAACCCCAGTGTACAGACGGATGCAGAGGTGGTAAGTGACTTGCCCATGGTCACCCAGGAAGTCTGTGGCACAGCAGGGAATTGATGCCAGGCCTAACCACTGGACCATCCTTCAGCCCCTTCCCTTCCAGGCCCCCATTCCCTTGTAAATGGGCTCCCCGGCGCTTGCTGGCGGTTCGCAATTGGAAAGGGGCTCATATTTCAGCCTGAGGCCCAGACCCCTGAGCGCGCTGGCCGGGGTTTGGGGCTGTACGAATACAAAGGATGTCACGGGCTGGGTGTGTTCCCCAGAGGGTGCTGCAGCCAGTGGTTCTGTTGTGAACCCTTTAAAGCCCTCTTCCTTCTCCGGCGTGGGAGGGCGGGTCCCCCTGAGCCCCCAGAGCCCCATTGGTGTTTGCAGGCGCTGGGCTGCCACAGATGCATGGCCGGGCAGCCTGCACGTTTGGGAGCGGAGCCCTGGGGCTGTAATTTGCAGCTGACAGATTGAGGAGGAGACTGGGTCAAACGCCCCCCAAAGCCAGAAGCTTTTAATCTGCAGGTTATTGACGTGTCTGCTGGGCGGCCAGAGGCTGCGGGAGCCTGGGCTGCTGTCTGATGGGGACAGGCTGACGGCAGCGGGGGCCGCGCCGCACCTGCACCGGGGCTGTGATGCTGAACTGCTTCCCCCTCCTTGCCCTGTCCGCAGCCTGGAGATTTGCACCCTCTCTGGGGACCCGTTCCTTCCAAGGGCTCAGACTAGCCCCAGCTGGCAGGGAGCAGCCTGGGGCAGGCCTCATCCTTCAGTAAACCTTGAGCGCGCTACCGGTTCCCCACTGATTGATGGGGCTGTTCAGCTGAGCCGTTACCCACTCTTGGCCCCGGCCCACAGACTAGCGGCTGGCTCAGCCCCACCCCTGCAGGGAGCAGAGAAGACTCTTCTGTTCGTACTGCTAGACAGCATTGCTGCTGAGGACGGGCCGGTATAATGCAGACACTGGGGTGCCTTGTCTTGTACCCAACGATCCCGGTGGCTGGCATCCTTGGTAGCCATCAAGGCCACCTGGAAGCTGGGGAGGGCACTTATTATACAAGTTCCCGCCTCCTTCCCCATTAAGGGCAAGAGGGGAATGCTTGTTTGCACCCAGTGCTGCCAACAGCAGCGAGGATACGGCTCTTCCCATGCCAAGTCACTAGCCCCCTGACTCCATGGAGTCCCCTTCCTCATGGCTTTGCCAGGAGCCCCTACCCGCTAGCTGGCCCAGCTGTGGGCGCTGGGAGTGGCTGTGTGAAAACCTGCGGGATGGATGGGGGAATGCACAGGTGTGGGTCCAGTGCAGGCGGAGGGGAGAGGGCGGATCTCAGCGAAGCTAATGAACCATCGCAGAAAGCAGGGTCCCGCGCTTCCGCCAGTGAGATCTGCCCATGGCGAGCGGTGAGCAGAAATCCCGGCAGCCGGCGGGGGAGGCTGGACTCGCTGTCAGGCTGAGAGGGGGAGGGGCAGCTGGGGTCCAGCGGAGCTGGCTGGTACTAACTTACTCTCGCCGCCTGAATTAATGCTTGTAGGGGAATCCTGGGAGTGGGCACCAGCCTTGGCCTCCTCCTGAATGTCAGACACCTGCAGAAAAGGGTAATGATCAAATCCCCGTAACGATCCCCCGGGGCACATGACGCAATGATGGCGAAGCGGGTGGCGTGCTCCCCAGGCACAGGTGTGGAGGGCTTACCAAGGCGAACAAGAGCGCGAAGGATGGTGTGTTGGGCTCGTGGGAACGGCAGGAGAGCCTGGCTGGTCTCCCGTGCCAGGGGCATGAGGGTGTGAATGAAAAACCAGCCCTGATGTCATCCTGCCAGAGGCAGACGCGCGAGGCAACGGGCTGGCAGGCTGTGGACGGGTGGAGCTCTAGAACCAAGGGGCTGTGGTTTGAGGAAACCAAACCAAAGTCTTTGAGGCCCTGGGGGGAAGGGACTGGTCCCCCAGGATACAGCCTGCGCTGACACGCAGGCCTGGAGTGACAAGAGCCAGGGGTGTTGTCTTGGCCGTCCCAGTCACGTCTGAATACGAGCGAAGCGATTCCAAGTACAGCGAGGAAGGAAGCAGCTGGTAAAAAGTGAGGGAGGGATGCTGCCCTCACTAGCATTGGCCTGCTAACCCCAGGGTTGTGAGTTCAATCCTTGAGGGGGCCACTTGGGGATCTGGGGCAAAATCAGTACTTGGTCCTGCTAGTGAAGGCAGGGGGCTGGACTCGATGACCTTTCAAGGTCCCTTCCAGTTCTAGGAGATGGGATATCTCCATTAATCAATCAATTAATCAAAACCGCCGGGAGCGGCAGAGTAAACGTTTGGCAGCAGTGCATTGTGGGCAAGTGAAAGGGGTGCATCCTGCATTGCTCCGGGGGTGCAGGCTCCTTGTCACTACGCCTGTGCAAAATGCTAGCAAACGTGAGCGGCAGCATTTCCCACGCACTGGAGGAGCCGCCTATGCACGGCGCCAGGCGGGGAAGCCTCGGGCTCAGGCATTTGGGTAGAACGTCTGGCCCCGAATCGCTCTCGGAGTTCCCGCCACGCCGGGTGTCTGGCTGGGTGCTCTCGTTCCCCACTCCCTGGGCCAGGAGCGGAGTCGAAGCTTGCGGGACATGCCACCCCGCCACCCCCTCGCACGTCCTACCAGCTTGGGCTCTGTCAGGCACGTGGGCTTTCCCCCGTCACAACCAGCCCGTACTTACTGCCTCTGAATGTGGCTCCTGGAGCCTGGGGGGGTGTCCACACCACAATCCGTAGCGTGACTGCAGCCCAGCGAGACGTGCCTGCACTAGCATCACCTGTGCTAGCGTGGCTAAAAATAGCAGCACAGGCTTAAATGCCGACTAGCACCCCTAGAAGGGTAGGACTGGAAGGGATCTCGAGAGGTCCTAGCTTGGATCCCTGATGCGCGTGTCCGGGCCACGCTGAAGCCTGTGCCAGTGTGTCTACACGGCTCTTTTCAGCAGTGCTAGCACAGGGCTGGCCACTCAGGCTGTGATCCCAGCTTGGTGCAGTGCAAACATCCCCTCAATTGACCTGGTAATTCCCAGCCCAGGGCGGGAAGAGCAGGTTCAGTAAGGAAGGTGGCCAGCCAGGCAGAAGGCGTAAGTTAAAGTAACCCAATCCTCGACGCTCCTCCCAGCTCCTCGGCGCGTAGGTTACCCCGGCACTGGGAAGCACGTGAGGAGCTGGCCGCAGCACTGCTGAGTCTGGCCCGCCGCCGGCGAGTGTGTGTGGCCGATGGCTGTGTGCCCCAGTAACCCCGTCTTTCCCTCTGCAGCCCCAGGAGGAGGAGAACCGGTTCCGCAATCACTGCATGCAGGTGGGGAATGCCTATGTCATTGTCTACTCCGTCACCGACAGGGTGAGTTTCGAGAGCGCCTCTGAGCTGAGAATCCAGCTGCGCCGGACCCGGCAAGCAGAGAACATCCCCATCATCCTAGTGGGGAACAAGACGGACCTGGTGCGGTGCCGAGAGGTCTCGGTGGAAGGTGAGCGAGCAGGGCCTGTCGTCCCCACCCTGCGGGAGACAGTTCCCAGCCAGCTGTTCGGGGACTGGGAACTGAGGGGAGGGGGAGGCTTCTTGCTTGGTGTCTCCTGCTGCGGCTTCTCAGACCTAGCTGAGATGGCCAGCGAGCGATTGCGATGGGACCCGCTCATCTGCTGAGCGTCCATCCAGGAGTGCCACTCTCTGTCCATCTGTCTAGTCCTCTGCCAGCCATCTGTCCAGCCATTAAACCACCCATCCTACTTTCTTTTAGCAGCCCATCCCGTCACCTCCATCTCTGCCCTCCCCTTAGTCTGCCATCAATCCAGCCTTTCCGCCAGCATCTCTCCCTGCACCCATTAGCTACTGCCCTGAGCAGGTGCCTCCCTGGCGTAACCTACTATTCGCCGCTTCCCCGGTCCCGTGCCCTGTGCAGAAAGCACCGCCTGGCTCTGCCGGGAGAGAGCTCTTTGTCCTGGTGGCCAACTCAGGTGGGGTTGGACCCATTCTCTTCCCAGAGGGCCGGGCCTGCGCCGTGGTCTTCGATTGCAAGTTCATCGAGACGTCTGCCACCCTCCAGCACAACGTGACGGAGCTCTTTGAGGGGGTGGTGCGCCAGATCCGCCTGCGCCGGGACAGCAAGGAGGCCAACGAGAGGCGCAAGTCCATCTACAAGCGCAAAGAGAGCCTCACCAAGAAGGCCCGGCGCTTCCTGGACAGACTGGTCGCCAGGAACAACAAGAAGGTGGCTCTGAAAGTTCGCTCCAAGTCTTGCCATGACCTGTCCGTGCTCTGAGACCTGTCACAAAACAGGACACTTCCTTCTCATGCGTAAAGGGATGGCCTCTTGTACCTCCCAAGTGGCTTTCTGCCATGTACATAGGGGTTTGTAAACTTTCTTCTCGGTTGGTGGCATGTGGACAGGACCTTTCAGGGGAGAGACGAGACCCGTCTGGAGCAATAATCCGGGAGACGGTGCCAACTTCCTAACCAGAGCCTCAGAACCAAAGTGACACCAGCAACCCGTGGGGAAGGACTCCTTGCATGGACTGAATGTCCTAATCCCCGATAGCGCCTCCTGCCAGCCCTGCCACTTGCCTGGAGCCCTGCAAGAGGAGGCGAGCAGAGAGAAGCTAAGGCAGGTCTCCAGGGTGCCAGGAGGCACCAGGAGGTGTTCTAGTGTTTGCCCATGGAAGTGGGGGGGGGGGAAGCTGCCCCGGAGGGGCGGGGACTGTGGGAGAGAAGGTGGGGTGTTCCCTGGTGCCTAGAGATAATGCAAGTCTGACTTTGCCAGCGCCAGGGATGGGTTTGAGCAGGACACTCAGATCATGGAGCAGGGGCAGTACGGCCACCGGCTCTGCTGGAGTCCACAAAGCCATCACCAAGGTCGGAAGATGCCTCTGAATGCTGCTGGGAGCCAGAAGTGTAGCTGGCCCGTGACACCGTGCGCACAGGCACTCTAGAAATCCCTTAGACAGGAAGGCCCTGAGCTGGGGTGCAACGGTATGTCAGGGTGGGGGCTGGCGGCGTTTTGCTGCCACCTCTGGGCACATTAACGTCAGTGGGGACAGGGGAGAAGAAGGCAATGGAGAAGCATCTTCCTTGGGTAGGAGTCTGGGGTAGCCAGACCCCGCCTGTCTCCTGGCCTGCGGTTGGGGACTGTGCCGGGGGCCGGGCGGTGGGCATGGTGGGGTTTTTGTATCACATCTCTCTTTTGTACAGTGTTTTTAGGATGGAGGTTTTTCTGTTGTCTCTGTATGACCGCGGTGACGACCTGCCGAGACTGGCAGAATAAACCAGATCTGGAAAGGCGCCTGTCACCAGTGACTGCGTAGCGCCTTTTGCCCTTTAACTCCTCCTGCAAGGGGCTCCTCTCTTGGATTTCCCTGTGCCCCCCAGAGAGGCAGGGAGCTGGGCCCACTGTTCGTTGTACCTGCTTCCAAATCCGAGATGGGCAAAGCCCAAACCAGACCCCTGAGTCTGACCCCTGGGGGAGCTGGGCTTCCGAGCCGGACTCTGAAATGCACCTTTAATGGGGGCAAATGGACTGGATCCATTGGGCTGCCGCGAGAACTTCCTGGGATTTCCCCAAGCAGGGGGGCAGGTTTGATTTCTGTAGATCCCCTGAAATGGCAGCACAGAAGCACATGGGGCAGCTGGAGGGACTTGGTTCACACACAAGGTTTCCAGGCAGCTCGGAAATCCCATGGAATAGCCTGGAGGAATTGAGGCCGGATTCTCCAGTCTGCCAACTTCGCTGTGTGCTACTTCTGAGGTGCAAAGTGAACTGAAACTGGCTGGAGAGTCCCCTGGGTGCAGTAGGGAGCTGGGCCATGTACAGCGTAGCTGCCCCCTTCCAGGAGCTGAGTGGGAAGGGAGGGGTGGCG